CCAGATGGACTAATCGGCCTGCAAAGAGGGAGGGGAGGAAGAAGAAAACACGGCCAGCTGGAAGCAACTCAGCTTGCACTGGAGAATAACCCCCTCCCCGCCCTGATCACCTGCTGGGTGCAGGGTGGGTTGTTTTACCAAGGATCAACCTCCCTGGCTTCTCGCCAGGGTGGCTTAGCATGATGCGCAAACTATGGATCTCCACTGGTTTAACTACCTTTGGAGAAGGTGCTTGTACAGGGATGTTTGCTTCCTGCCAGCAGGCAAAGACCTCATTCTGCAGGCAGATCTTTGGCACCTTAACTGGTCTGTGGCAGATCCAGTTCAGGCCCAGTTTGCAACATTCCTGCAGAAAGAGTTTAGAATAACTTCACATTTTGAACACAAATGTGGCATAAATTACCCTGGAGTGAGTCAAGGAGCGATCGAAGGACAGTGTCTATTTCCACTCCATAACAACTCTACATCTGAACTCCACACAGTACCACGAATCTGAGATTTTGCCCGTGTCCACAAAGCTTTGCAAGAGAAACAAAGCTTTGCAAGTCAAAGGCTAGAAACATGTGTATAAAACATCTGCTCACTATTTCAATGCACCTCTATGAAAACCATTGATCCTCAAAAGACTCTTTGTAGTACAACCTCCCACTCAATGCAGCATATCCAGGATCAAAGCATCACCAAAGATCACTCTCCAACATTTGGTGGAAGATCTAAGCATGAGGAAAAGCTCTCCACTGTTCTAAGTAATGGCTTCCATTGTTTAACCGCTTTACCGACAAGATGTTCCTTTTACTGTCCAAGTGAAACATAAGTGACGCGTGACTTCTGTGTTGGGGATTCAGAAACAGGCACCCTAGCTTGATCCCAAGACTGCCATATCACCATTAAAACTCATAACCACGTGTCCTCCAAGGATGTATTTCCTCTCCTTTGAAAGCCAGTTTACAATAGGCAGCTAGGCTAATATTTATTGTCTTCAGCCTGATGTTTCAAAGAAGCTAGTGGAGAGAGGAAAATGGATGCATCCAAACATGGTGCTAGAGGAGAGCTTTGCAAAAACTCTGGATCAGCAGAAAGACAAATAGGTGGGTCTGAGATCAAATCCAGCCCGAATTCTCTCTAGAAGCTAAAATGGCGAAAGAGAAGCTGTTCTACTCTGAGCACACCTGCTAAAACTAACATACAGCCTTGGGGACTCCAGTACCAGCGATCTTCAAACCCCCTTCCTGTTTTGATTTTACCGAATGCTGGAGATTGTTCACAAGGATCGGTCACTCATGGAACTGTGCATAATTTCTGTAAGTTCCAGAAACCAGGTTTCTTGGTATGGAATTTGGATTGCCTTGGCAAATTTTATTTTGTCCACAGAAGCACAGAACAGTAGAGTTGTAAGGAGCCAAGGGTCATGAGGTCCAACCCCGTTTGAGAATTCAGAAATTCTGCTTTAGTGGTACTCAAAATGTCGAGAAAGTTGTACCAATATCTTTTACAATTCTGGTTTCTGTTGTTTGCATGTCTGTATTTATGTTTCTGATTTCTCAGTCCTGAATTCCATGACACTTAGGATGAAACTATGAATATTTTAAACTTATGGGAAGTAAAAACCTTAAGATACAGGGATCTGGAACTTAGAAATGGCAGACAAGGAAAGAATTAATCATTCACTGCTTGCAACATTTTTATGAATTCATTTACTCTACTTTTAAACTGCCTCAAAGCTGAATTTCTCCAGGTGTTGTACAATACACTAAAAACAAAGTACAGACATTCAGCAAAACTAAAAACAGTGCCAAATAAAATCCAGATAAACCCAGCAGCAAAGTATAAAATCATTCCAAAATCATAAAACCAAAATAAACCCAGCAGCATGGTGAACCACTAAAAGCACAATAAACACTACTTAAAACAGATGTAGAAAAAGATATTGGAGTAGTTGTGGACAATAAGCTAAATATGAGCTAACAATGCGGTGCAGCCACCAGAAGGGCAAATGCTATTTTGGGATGCATTAACAGAAGTATTATTTCCAAATCACAAGAAGTTGTAGTTCTTCTGTGCTCCTCACTAGTCAGACCTCATCTGGAAAACTGTGTCCAGTTCTGGGCACCAAAGTTTAAGAAAGATGCAGAAAAATTAGAAAGGGTCCAGAGGAGGGCAACAAAGACGATCCAGGGTTTGCCCTGAGAAGAGAGACTGAGAGAACTGGGCATGTTCAGCCTAGAAGAGAAGAGAAGAGAAGAGAAGAGAAGAGAAGAGAAGAGAAGAGAGAAGAGACGTGGTATCTCTCTAAAAGTACCTCCAAGGCTGTCACAAAGAGGAAGGTCAAGATCTCTTCTTGCTGATGCCAGAGTGCAGGACATGGAATAATCAAGTTGCAACAACCAGATTCAGGCTGGACATCAGGAAAAGCTTCCTCACTGTCAGAGCAATACTACAGTGGAACCAGTTGCCTGGAGAGGTGGGGGACTCTCCCACAGTGGAGACATTCAGGAAGAACCTGGACAGCTCTCTGACTGGGATGGTGTGACTTGGCGTCCTGCAACAGCAGGGGGTTGGACTAGATGGTCTCCGTGGCCCCTTCCTACTCTACTATTCCATGATTGTGCAATGTAAGAATAAAAAGATCTCCACCGGGGCTTACACATTCCTGTGGCATCTCAGTCCTCAAAACGGGAGGAAGAGCTGCGCTATGTTCATCTTCTATGAGCTGAACTGTGCAAGCAAGCCGAACACCAGGCTAAGGGCCATCAACTCTCCTTTGACAGTCCCCGTTGCAACCTTAGCCCTTCACTACAAACTAGTTGCACTGGACACGGACTTATGCAGCACCAAAGAAGAGGAAATGCACTACCAAAAGAGGACAAAGGGGACTTCATATTTGCTTCCATATCTGCGTCTGCTCAAGTGCAGGACGCGAAGGATCCGCTCTTGATGCACCAGCCCAGTCAAGCACGACAAGGGCGTCAGAGGAGACGCATGGATTTATTCTCAAGAACATTTCGATCACAAGCAAACGGGCGCAAAGGTGCTGTCTCCTTTTATACCTTCACGGGCCAGGTAGTGAGGACCGAGGCTCACTGGTTTGAAATCCCCACCACAGGTGCGGATTGGTCATTCCTGCGCTCACCTGGGAGGCTGGGACTAGAGTCTTCGCGAGAGATGCTTCAATCCCACCTACGTGACTTAGCTCAGGCTCCGTAGGTGCTGCAGGTATGAGGTCATCGTCCCTTTGTTCGAGGCACCTGGCATGCCCAAGCGAGTCTGTGCAAGCGCTCACAGGTCCTGCACGTGGATATGCATAATTTTAATAGAAATGCAATGTATCTCACCAAAGGGGGAGAACGTGGCCCACTCCATCTGTTCTCCAAGAAGGGCTGTTTATGGTCAGACCCTTCTGCTTATCCGATCTCTGCAAGCTGGACTTGGAGAGGACGGAAGATGCATGGCAGCTTTGCTGACATTTGCAAATCATGTGGACACAAAGGGGAGAGTTTGCTCCCTGAAACGGTTTGCAAATTCTCAAATATGTTTGCATCCAAGAAGTGTCTATTAAAAAACAAAACTACACATGTTAAAAAGCACACGTTTAAAAATGCACATTTCCATGCTCTACGCTACGTAGAAAATTGTATTCTTTTGGAACATATTTAATTAATTAATTAATTTAAAGTTTTTATCTGCCGTCCCCTCGCTACATAGCCTCGGGATGGCTCACAGCACACAAAAAACGCTTTTCCTATATGTTTGCTACAGTTTTCCCCATTTGCAGGAAATGAATAGAGGTCACCAATGAGCACAGTGAATGAGAAGAGATTAACATAAAGTTGATGTTTGTTTATTACATTTATATCCTGACTTCTTTCCTTTCATGGAGCTCAGTGCAGCTCACGTAATTCTCCTCCTCCTTGCAGTTCTGTCCTCACGGCAACAACCCTGTGAGGTAGGCTGGGCTGAGAGTCTGTGGCTGGCCCGAAGTCTCCCAGCGAGCCCTAGTCTCTCCTGAGTCCCAGTCTGGCACTCTTAGCCACTACACTGCCTCTCAGAGAATGCGGGCAAACGTGTTCCCAAAGAGGATGGTTGCAAAGAGAGGTGGGCTACACCAGATGCCCTGCAGCATTATGGGAAAGGGAGGGATATCGCTGGCTCCCAACCTCCGTGGCGCCACATGTCCTGGGCAAAGAGTTGGGGAGGCACATGGCCCAAAAGGGCAACTTCAGCAGTCCTTGCGATGTGCAAGAGATCACAGGAGATCCTGCACTCATTTATATACGTACGTACGTACGTACGTATGTATGTATGTTATCCTTATATCTACATCTTATTTATATTTATATTTGTATTTGCATTTCTACATAATTTCTATATAATAAAATTACAATATAGAATTACAACCCCTGGTGGGTTCTTCCAGGGTAAATACGACCTTCCGACTGGGAGAGATTTCCAGCCATTTCCCCATTTAACGAGAGCAGCAAACAGCCCATCAACTCATGCAAACTGGCTGAGTCTCTCCGTCAAAAGACCTCGCCGCAAAAACTTTCCACACCTCCAACAGCTTGGGGGTCAAAAGAGCCCTCCCCAGCCTGCCCCTGCCGCCTGCCGGCCGCGTCAACTACAACTCCCATCACGCTGGCTGCCGTAGGGCAGAGCCCGGTCCTTCCTTCGCCGAGTCCGCTGGCCAGCCGCCCCATGGCAGGGACGGTCCCGGCTGAGGAATGAGGTCAGCCTCATGCAAGCATAGCTCTCTCTCCTTGCAAGTGCTGACTTGTGGGGGGGGATGCTGGGGGGGGGTACGAAAAGTGCAGTCGCAAGACCACACCAGGCATTTTCTGCCTCCCACCCGTCCTTCCAGCAAGGTTGCCCCTTTCAGCTGCCTGTAACAAGACACCTGGAGCAGCCGCGCACAGGTTCCCATGTCTGCGAGCTCACCGTGTTGCCTCTCTCCATCCCGTCCTCCCCCGCCACCCCTTTCCCTCCCCCCATTTCCTCTCCTCCAGTCCCAGTTTAATTTGCTGAACAACAGCATGGATCAGAGCACTGACAGCCGGGCCACCTCTTCGAGCCCGTACAGCTCCGAGCACGCCTCGAATGTCCCGACGCTCTCCCCGTACTCGCAGCCCAGCTCCACCTTTGACACCATGTCCCCCGCGCCCGTCATCCCATCCAACACGGACTACCCGGGCCCGCACCACTTCGAAGTGACCTTCCAGCAATCCAGCACGGCAAAATCCGCCACTTGGACCGTAAGTTGCATTTCGGTTTTTTGCTCTCGGGGATCTCTCACCTGAGTGTGCGAAAGTTGCGGGAATTTCCGATAGAGAATTGTATTCTGCATTCTAGAATTGCTCAAACTGCACAGGCAAATCAGACCAGCCGTCTTGTCTGACCCTGTATTGCACACTGCCTGGAAAAGTCCATACTTTTGGAAAAGGTACCTTTTGGGTGCAATTCCTCCCTGCATTTCACATCGTTTCCCCATCTGTGCGAACGAATGGCGATTACACCGGAGCATCGAAAAGGAGGAGAACTTGATGTTTGGAGCATTTGGGCGAAAGTGCACTCGCCGGAGTTTATCGGGGACTGAAACGGGGTCTTTCTGAATGCAAATGGGTGCCTGCCATTGAGTTATGGTCCTTCCCATGAAAACAAAGCGAGCATCTTGCCTCCCTGGCATCAGAGAGCCCTGATTTCCATCGGAAGACAGGCGGCCAATCTTCTTCCACCACACAATGAAATGGAGAGCCTTGGGGTTCTCCGCACAGCAGGCCCTCTTCCCAGTGTGGGTCAAGTCCCTTTCACAGAGTTGAGGGTACCTCGGAAAGGATGGCGCGCTTGGTGATAATGCCCAAGGATGTCACCTGTCACAGGGGACAAATTTGGTCCCTCACCTGATAACTCAATGTGTGTCTTCTCCCTTTGACACACCAGATCTGCAAGCTGAATCGGGGCCATGGGACGTGCCCCCCCCCCCCCAAAGCCAATAGTGCCCCTTCCAAAGGCAGCCCCTGATTCCATCCCTTCCTTTGCAAAGGAGCCCGTGTGGACTAGAATCCCACCGGGAGAAGGATTATCTCTGTGAGCGTCCTCATGGCACAGACGTTAAGCAACACAATCTGGCTGGGGATGATGGGAGGCATAGGCCAGCATGCCATCACCTAAAGGAACCTCTTAAAGATTGTCTTATATTAAGTGGATAAAGAGAGGGAAATTGATCTGCATGTGTGTGAACAAGCTGAGTCCACACTGCAAGATTCGTTGTTGGACTAAGATGAGGATACACCTACCCAGATTTCGATTTCTTAGACGCTTTCTTGGATGGACACAGCATCCGAATAAACCTGCCCAGCTTGGCCGATGCGACTTTCAGACTACATGGTCATTTAAGGAGTCTTGGGCTGAGAGCCCTATGCATACTTACTTGGGAGTAACTCCCACTGTGTAGGTGGGGCTACTCCTGAATAAGCGTGCATCGATCAAACTCATAACTCTGTGCAACCTAATCTGGGCAGTCTAGACTTTTTTCCCAAGAAGGAGTTACTCTGGCAACATTCGAAGGAACTTGCTCTTGAGTAAGTGTGCTTAGGAATGTGACGGCAAACAAGACAGATCTGCCTTCAGACATAGTGGCTCTCTCAAGGCTAGCAAGTGACATCATGACAAACCTACAGTTTGAACGGAGTCACTCCACCGGCCACAGGGATGCTCCCGTGCTCCAAGGTGGCTTGAAAGATTCTTGCAGCCTTCGATAGACAGCAAATTGCCAGTTGGTCCTGTCAGGATTTGGCCTGGAGGACAAACCAAGCATCTCCTGCAAATGCATGGAACACAATCTAGGTTTCTGCTTTTGTCAGGGAAGAATATAGGTCAGGGGCACCAAAATCAAAGGGAGGGCAACAAATACGGTCAATAATTTGGAAATCAGGTCCCATGGACATGATCTGGTCTGGGGTCTGGGCGCATGGATGGGGTCCGAAAGCGTCCTGGGTGTGCTTTCCGTGTTCGGTATGCCTGAGAAAATCGTGCCTTGTTTTAATCTCCACTGTGGTCATCTGTATTACGGTGTGTGTGTGTTTGTGCAGTTTGGGGAGTGTGTGGCAAGGTGTCTGTACATCTTTGCCAAGGATTCCTCCTGGCTCCCTAAGGGAGACACTCATCATTATCGCTAAAACCCTTTTTCCCTCCTAAGCCACTTAGTCCTCCCTCCTTCGTACAAGAGGTGCATAATCTGGAAGTTTGCGCTGTGCTCCTTTCGAGTAGACCTGCTCTGAGGGATGCGTGGTGTCGCACACACAGAGGCACGGACCTCTGGATGCTTGTGGAACCCGTTCTTTTCCCCCTAAAGGCTGTTTTTCCGTGTGGCTCAGAGAGTATCATGTTTTACATTAATTATAGTTCTGGTGGTGGCTGTTGTTGCTGTTGTTATTATTATTATTGTGGCTGTGTGGATTCTCCCCACCCATCCATGCTCTTAGATTCACTTGATTCTCTGCAACATGGGACTTGTTGGCCCTTCCGTTGATCATCTGCCCTCTGCCCCACCACTTTGGCGGTCACCAGGGTCCCCTGGATAGCCGTCTTTGTATCCCTGAGGGGTCATTGCACAGAAAAGGGCTGAGATGCGTTCTCCACCACCCCAGCTGGCAGGACACGATCTAAGGGGCTTAAGTTATGGAAAGGCAGATTGCTTAGATATTAGGAGACACTTTTGACAGCAAGAGCAGTTGGACAACCAACACATGGGTGGATTCTGTGTCATGAGATGTCTTCGCTCGTACAGCTATCTGATGGGGATGACCCATCTCTCAATCTCCTGCATCAAACGGGGCTGGGCTAGATGACCTACCGGGGTCTCTTGAGGGCTAGGACTTTGCCACTGTTACAGAGAGAAGACTTACATCCTTAAATACCCGTGTGTGCAAAGACTGCAAAGCCTATTCCCATCTCCTGAATTTCTCCTCTTTCTCTTCTCAAATCAAAGTTCATGTCCACGGGCACGTTAGCCGTGCAAGCAGGCAAACGCTCTCAGCCTCCACACACACGGAAGCCGAGCAGCGCCATCCAGAAACCTGCCTGCCTCAGGGGCACCAAATAACGTCCCCAACGATTAAGACTGGATGGCCAATAAATTGCAGTACTGCAAAGCTGAGAATGTTCACAGTCCAAGTATCTGTCTCCCCTTGCCTGATCAAGTGGGTAACATTTAAAGTGGCACCAAAGGAACTATCAGTACAGAGCAAGAGATGCAGATGGCAGGGCTAGGATGCAGCAGTGGGCGGTTTGTCTCTCTACAAAAAATGGACGTTCTCTTGAGTGTGGCAGTTCCAGGAAATAACAGAGATTCACCTGTGGTGCTCTGTTCTGTACAGAATCAGTAGCAGCCTCTACCTCAGAGTCCCCATCAACAAGGGATCTGAAAATCCCAGAATTAATATACCATATTACATTCATTTCATAAATAAGTTGCTTGACATTTCTGTTATATAATCATGATTAATAACAACAATATATATTATTATATATCCATAATATATAATAATGTTGTCAGGCAATGTCCATTATTAATTCTTAACTGAATCATTAAAGAATTGATTAATAAAATGATAATAATTCATTTGCCTACAATAAATGCATTTACTTTGCAGTCACGTAACAGCAGTGCAGCCGAGGTACCGCTCCCAAATGCCGACTCTTTAAGTGTCCGCCCTTCGTAAACTGTAGCTCATCAAAACAGACAGGGAAAACTCTGAGAAGCCCCCCCACACACACACCTTCACCCTCCAGAGGTGCCCCACACCTCAGGACTCTGGTGACCTGGTACTCTGCGCCAGCATAAGGGTCCCGTTGGCTCGGAGCTCACGGGACGCCTCTTGAGAACTGAGAGCAGGTCCCATCAGAGACCTGGCCACTTGGGGATCCTACCCTGCCTTCCCCAGCCTTGTGTCTTTGGGACTCGCTGGGATGGCAGCACCCCGAATTCCCAGCCCATGGCCCTGCTGGAGGGGAATCCTGGGCATCGCGGTCTCGGTGAAGGCCGCCAGGTTGGGGGAGGCTGGCCTTGCCTGTTGGTGGGCGGCCCGCAGGTGGAGCATCCGCTGATCCCACGCTGGATGCAGGGAAGGGTGCCTTATAGGCCAAGGTGGGCAGGGCTATTTGCTTTCCCCAGAGCATTCCCTTAGGTTGCGGCACAAACACCCCTCCAGTTTGCCACCACTTTGGCCGGCATAAGCAAAGTGTGTGGGTGGGAGCATCCTGAGAGCCGCAGAAGGTGAACTTGGGTGTGCCTGCAAGTGGACTGGTGGGGCAGAGTGGCCATCAGCCCAGGGCTTGGGGCAATGGCGAGGGCTTGGAGCCATGCTCTAGAGCATGGTAAGAGCAAACGCCACATCGCTCCACCGCTACAGGCTCAGAGTTCAAGCAGTTGGAGGAGGAGTTCTAGGAACCGCCTTCGAAGAGAGATGCGGATGAGCTGGAAAGTTTCGGAGGAGGACAGCAGGGATGGTCTGGGAACAAAGCCCCACGAGGAAAGCTTGCAAGAACTGGGCATGTTTGGCCTCAAGAAGGAGAGACAGGAGAGGACTTTACAAGTCCCTGAAAGGGGAAGGCCAGGATCTCTTCTTGAGTGCAGGACATGGAATAATGGGCGAAAACTACAGCAAGCCAGATTCCAACCAGACATCAAAAAAAATCCTAACCGTTAGAGCAGAATGACAATGGAACCAGAGGCCTGGGGAGGTAGTGGGCTCCCCCCCACTAGAGGCACTCAAGATGCAACTGGGGAGCCACCCGGGAGGGATGGTTTAACTGGGAGTCCTGCAGTCAGCTGGGGGTTGGACCCACTGGCCTCTTCCAGCTCTGTGCGGCTATGAGATCACAGTGACCAGGCCAGCCACTTGATCAAGCAAGCACTTTCATGGCTCTCCCCGTGCCCGTCTATTGACTGCATTAACAACACCTGCAAATCAATAAAATGTTAGCCCAGGGTATGGGCTCAAGGCACAGAAGCCTTCCGTCATGTTGAAGCTAAGCAGGCCTGGGGCTGGCCTGAACTTGGAGGGGAGACCACCAGGGAACCGTGTGTGTAGCCAGCTTGAGTTCCACAAGGCGAGAAAGGCAGGATATAAATAAATGAATAATTAACTTCAAATAAAGCCGTTGTTTCTAACCTGTATCTCCCTTCCGGCAAAAGTTTTGCCCACTAAATTACGGTGTGCCTGGCTACTCTTAAAAGGTGAGCAGAGCCCAT